GGCCTTCTACAAGGCAGTAGCAGGATGCAGTTAACATCTGCCCAAGATGAGTATTTTTATCGAGACACCATCTCTAGCCTTTACTCAACCAAGAGCCCTAAGTCAGGGGATGTTTAGCTGGATGCAGTTAACATCTGCCCAAGATGAGTGTTTTTATCGAGACACCATCTCTAGCCTTTACTCAACCAAGAGCCCCAAGGCAGGGGAATTTTTTTAAATAATTGTTATAGCATTAGCCGTATTATTTTTATTATGGTTATTGCAATTTTTGACCAAGTGCTGAAAATCCTATATTAGGCCTCAGCAAGAATAAATGAGTACAAAAGCGGAGAAAAGCTCTCCTGAAATGAACTTGAAGAGCTGTGCAAGCTGCTCTTCATTTAAATCAGCGCTCTTTTTTAATTCTAATTTTTTTTTTGCAACATTATTGTCTTTTAAAAAGCATTTCAGCATATTATGCAATTAATTTTTTTTAAATGACATAGCGTTTTTTATTTAATTTAAAATGATAATTATACTTTTATGAGAAAAATTATACTTTTGCGAGAGCCATAAATAGCTCTTATAAACTGTTTCAGGGGAGTGTGGGCGAGAGCTAAAGCTCTCACTTCCTGCCAAGGCCTGCTATATTGATAACATGTGTTCTTTATTTAGATTATGTATGCAATAGTTGAATTTAGCAACTCAGTCAGTGAAATTATACCAGTTAAATGGTTCTGATGAGATGAATGTTTTTGGCCTAAATTTTTGCCACTTTCAAAAGTATCAAAGCTGGTTAGCCAAATAGCAAATCCTAATCCAGCATGGAAAAAGTGTAATGTTCGAACATTATGAAAGGCAGGTAATGGTAATATTTCAACATGACATTTAACACCATATAAAACATTTACTTAAAAAAATGTTATTATTTTACACTTTAGCTACTTATGAAAGAGCACGAGAGAAGTTAAGTCTTTCAGAAAACACATCTGATTTGAATATTACAGAAAGTGAAAACAAAGAAAAGGCAACTGGTGTGCTAAAAAGGAAAAGGTAATATCTTAAGTAATTAAGGTGCTTTTAATTTTTAATAGAAATACTTTAAGAGCAAAAATTTACGAGTTGAAATGGTTCCTAAAGTTTTAAAAAAGGAACACATAATAAATTGTAGAAACTATATATAGTTTCTACAGTTTATTATATGTTCCTTTTTAGCACTTAAGAAACCATTCCAACTCGTTAATTTTTGTTCAAGTAATAATATTATTGTCTTTAACAGGTTGGTTACTAACGTGATCAAGGAGGTTGTACTCTTGTGGAGAATACTAATGGCCGTAATAGTGCTGTAATGACAATAAACAAAAATACATATGAATTGAAGTAAATATAACTCCAGAAAATTTGTAAGTAATAATTTGTTTAATTGAAATTTGTTAATATTACCTTTTTTTTTATGAGTTACTATTCAAATCTAAATTATTTTGTTTGCAGAAACTGTAACAAGAAATGCACATCAATGATTGAATGTGAGGGACTTGGCTTTGCGTCACAAGACTGAGATGACAAACAAGCCAAATGTGCTAAAGCCTTCAAAAACACAAGGCTTCATCGAGAAGTACCTTTGCACATAGAATGATGAATAATATGAAATATATAATAAAAATTATAATACAAAGCATTGTTTTGTTTTTACTACTTTTTTTTTCGTATAATGTTCACTGAACAGTATGCGTTATATAAAAATATTATCTAAACTTAATATACTATCTGAAATCTGTATTAATTTCCAGATTAATGAACTGTTCAGATATCTTTACATTCAGATCGTCGACCAAACTATTTAATAATAAACAAAAAAAAATGTCGATACAAAAATAAGTAAGCTAACAAACTTATTTAAAGTATAGATAAAACACATTGTTCTCTTTATTTAGCTAAGTACTGATACTCTACTGTGTTTTAAACCTATGTAAAAGCAAATAATATTCATAAAACAAAATGTAGGGAGGTTTTTTATTAATTTATTAAGTAGCCCATATAGGCCCCATGTGGCGCCCGCGGCCAACTTTTAGGTGGGCCCATGTGGGGCCCATCGAATAGCCTATATTAGCCCCATCTAGGGCCCAGATGAACATGTTGGCTGGGATATGACATTACATTATTAGTGATTGTTTTGTTGCAGTTGCTAATCTTAACGGTGCTTTAGTTTTTTTGTCAAAACTACTGCATGCACGGAAATATAAATACAGTAATGTAATGTAATGTTGCGGTTGTGGTGTAGTGGTAAGAGCGCTCGCTTTTTAAGCGAGAGGTTCGGAGTTCGACTCCCACCACGCCCCTGGAAGTACGACGCTCAACTTAATTTCTCCGCGCAGCGGCCTTGCTTGTCAAGGTTCGTATTTCGGAGTTAAAGAGTTGAGAGAGGGTTGTACCACGATTTACAACAACAAAAACAACAACAACAACAAAAATGAGTAGCCTCCTCGACTGTAGTGGCCCCCTCGGGCCTTGGGGAGGTGAATAATTAAAAAAAAAAAAAAAAATTCTATCGCGAGCTGTATTGGCAGTTTTAATCAATTTCTAAAAAATTGTTTCAATGTAATGTTTTTTTTTTTTTTAATTGTGTTTGATTGCTTAAACAGCAGTTTTAAAGTTGCAGATCGCGATAGACAATAACCCAGTTTTATTAGGCTCTTCTTTAAGTCATTAATTGTTTTACATGAAGGTAACTCTTGCAATCTTTGTCAACCACACTTTTTGGTGCAATGTTAACAACGGCTTTAACCTACTAACCTACCATAGTTTTCTCTGCTCAACTTAAAGAGCTTTGATGTTAAGTTGGGCATCTCATCAATAATATCATTAAGTAATTCAAATTTGCTCTGCACTGTCTTTGTTAGACTGCCTTTGTATTTCATTTTTTAGTTTTGTTTGCTAAAAAGTTTTCTAAAAATTTGTTTTAGTTTTGTTTTTCATTTGTTTTAGCTTTTCTAAAAATATCGATTTTATTTTAAGTTTGTCAGTTATCAATCCTGCACGGCGTACTATCTTAACAACTGCATTTACAGTTGCAATATTTCAATTTGTATTATTATTTTTTTTGTTGTTGTTGTTGTTGTGGAGTTTTATTCTTGACTTTTTTGTATATTAAAATTACAAAAAGAAATAAGTGTTTTATAAATAAAAAATCTTATTTTAACTGCGTTCTCCTAAGTTAACAACGATGAGAGGTTTATAAAAACCAATTCGTATTTTAAAATAAAAGCTTTATATGGACGTCTTTAAACGGAAAGGAACCAAGCGCCATTTTTAACTGAATTGAGTTATTGGCGCTATCTTGTAGAGTTGTATTGTCAAATTTATATAGTAATAAAACCTGCTTTAACTTCAAGTGTTGTCAATAAGCAGGAAGAAATTAAGAAAAAAAGTGAAACGCTGTATCTAGTATACTGTTATAAACAGAAAGAAAACCATTTTCTCAAAAGCATACAGATAGCGCTTGGCCCAAATTACTTAGTCCAAAATACGGTCATGAGTCAAAGTGGTAATGCTTTCATGCCTCATAGACCTAATAGTTTTATATTGGTCCAGACCATGACATAGCATCACTAAATTTGCCTGGTTCAATAAAACAAGCTGCCACTAAAAAATTATGATCAGACAAACATGCTTATTAACCAAAACGCATCAAAGTTGATGAATGCTTTGTTGCAGCTGTAAATTTTAATGGCAGTTGACTTTTTTGTCTGAACTTAAATAGAAGAATGAATCTGAATTAAACATTGAACAAATTTAATCCATGTATTGGATGCACGCAAATATAAATACAGTATATATATATAATACTACCGCGAGCTGTTCTTTCATCAACAAATTTCAAATTTGTCGATGAATATTTAAATTTATAGTTATAAATTTAAATTTATAGTATAAGTTCATATTGAGATTAACATAACAGTGCGAACTTGCATAAGTGCGAATTGGTATAAGTGCGCCAAACAAGTTTGGAAAGATTGGCATAAGTGCGAACTGGCATAAAAGCAAATCAGCATAAATGCGAAATGCCAATTTCCATTTATGTAAATATTGCAAATTTGTTCGGCTTACTTATGCCAATTCGCACTTATGCCAGTTTTCACTCATGCCAGTTTTTTTGTAACTGCTTTGCACTCATGCCAGTTCACACTTATGCCAATTCGTATTAATGCCAATGTTTAAAAATTCTGTTTGTGCACTTATGCCAGTTTGTACATATGCAAGTTTTTGTAACGCTTTGCACTTATGCTAGTTCGCACTTATGAAATTCGCCTCCCGCCCTCAAATTAAGGAGGGTTCAAATTTTATATAACTATATTTTTTTAAACACTAAAAGATTATTGTATAAATTTGTCAATGAATATAAATTTATTTAAAATATAAAAAAAATATTTTATTAACTCGTCGCTCTCACGTTATTGGCAGGGAGGGCAAAACGTTTAGGGCTTTATTTCTTTCCAGGCTTTTGACATAAACATATAAAAGTTTCGAGTGTGCTCCACGCCGAACTCGCATAACAACTACATAGCTACTGGTGCCAGTAGCTAAACACGTTCTGACGTAGTTTGTAATTAAGTTTTAAGGTAAGTTTAGTATTTAGTTAAACTAGACACTCATCCGTTTTCCGGTTTTTGTGGCTAGTTATTATTAAAAACAATTTTTTTTGTTTAATAATATTATTGTTATTATTGTTATTATCATCTTTATTATTATATTTTAGGCTAAAGTTTTTGTAAAAAATGTTACATCAGTTTGCTTTAATTTCATACTGTATATTAATTAACTAAATATACTTATCGAAAATTCATTTTAGACAAGTATATTAAGTTAAAGTGATACACTGCTATAATACAAACAAAAATAATATACGTTTATATAAAAAAGATTATGGGTTGTTGACTACGAAATGAGCTTTAAAGTAAAGTGCTAGTTATCACAAGGTATTGATAACTATTACAGTTTTTTGAAATAAAATAATAGTATTGTGCTCTACAAAATGAGTCATATTATTTTGTAAAATGTTCAACAAATTCTTATTACAGACGTCTTTTCAAAATTAATGCTTTATTATATTAACAAAATCTGCAAGATTTAGCACATGATACTTTCATGTACTCATGCCATTGTGGAGGAGATCTGCAATAAGCGAGATTTTTAGAACAATCAATTACTTTATCTGTACAACCTAAAAATATTAATCAAAATTTGCATAATAACTTGATAATAGTTTGCTATCTTTAAAATTTTAAATTTTTACTTAAAATAATTACTTACTTCCAGTTCCAGTACCAGTACCAGTTCCGGTACCAGTTCCGGTACCAGTTCCAGTGCCA